AATTGAGCCTGCATCCACGATGAGTTCCAACAAAAAAAACGGAGACAGAGCGCCTAGAGAGATTGAGGCTTTCCTGAAACGTGATGTGAGATGAGATTCGAACCTGAAACAAGAAGATTGAGGAAGCTTGAGTATTGATCCTGAAACGAGAAGATTGAGGAATCTTGAGGATTGATCCTGAATTGAGTTGGTTGACGAAATTTGAGGTTCGATTTGGTTGAGTTTATGTGTAGTCCGAGGGTAATGAGATGAAGCCAGCCCCAGCACAACGCATATGCGTGTTTCAGATGAATTTGGATCAGAAGACACTGGCACTCACCTTTGACTGCACAAAGCAATATGAACAAGCGTGATGATTACACAACAAGGGTGAAATAGACCATGTAATCAACTGTCTTGATCAAACATAAAAAAATAAAAAATATCAAAAACACTCACTGAGGCTGGGCTAGGTGCAATGTCCAAAGGACGATTTTTTGTGGGGTTAATGGGCCGGTGGGTTGGATCAATTTTGGTCGTTTGGGATTGAAATCAGGTGTAATTTTCGGGGAGTGAGTGAAGTCGTTGGGTTAATGGGCAGGTGGGTTGGATGAATTTTGGTCGTTTGGGATTGAAATCAAGTGTAAATTTGGGGAGTGAAGTCCTTTGGGATTGAAATCGAGTGTAATTTTGGGGAGTGAAATCTGGGTGGTGAATTTGAATGGGGAGTAGAAAAAGGGCCTTAATAAAAAACGCAGTTTTCCGCGTTTTGACGCGTTTGGCTGCGCGCAGCACGCGATTCGATTTAGACGCGTTTATACTTTACGCTATTTCAAGTTTGTCAAATTTAAATTCTCCTACACTATGAAGGTGTAGAATTAATGGTAAAGTCCATTTTCCATAAAAATGAATTTTGATTATTAATTTTTTTTCCACTTATTTTTCAATTAATTGTTTGCATGCATGTATGTACCTTATTTTTTATGCTTTTTTGAAATTTTAAAATTATTTCCTAGGTTTCAATGTGTGTAGAGCTTAATGGTGCAATCCAATTTTTTTAAAACTCAACGGTTCATTTTTAATACTGAAATTAGACCCATTTTTTCACTTAATTTTTTACAGCTTAATTCTCATCATTTTTTGACATTTTAAATTTATTTCCCACACTTTAAGACATTTAGAAAATGATGGTAACAACCATTTTTCCCCAAAATGAAAACTATACCTTGAATGCCGCATTTGACACGTTTTTTTTAATTAATTCATCACTTTTTCACTTAATTGTTTGCATACATGTGTGTACCTTATTTTCTATGCTTTTTTGAAATTTTAAAGTTGTTTCCTACATTTAAAAGTGTGTAAAATTTAATGGTAACATTCAATTCCCATAAAAACTCAACGGTTCATTCTGGATACTGTAATTAGTCATATTTTTCAATTGATTTTTAAGAGCTTAATTTTCATTATTTTTTGACATTTTAAATTTGTTTCCTACACTTTCAAACATGTATAAAATTATGGTAACAATGAATTTTCATCAAAATGAAAACTATATCTTGAATAATGCCTTTGACGTGTTTCCTGAATTAATTCTTACACGCTCAATTATCCTTATTTTTTGGAATTTCAAGCTCATTTCCTACACTTTTAAAGGTTTCAAAATTGATGGCTGTATCCATTTTGCATTCAAATAAAATTTGTATATGGTACAAATTATGCAAGAAACAGGGTACGCTCATCTATTAAGATTGAAGCTTGTATTTTGAGTGAAATTGGACTTCACCATTCAATTCTAAACATTTGTAAATGTAGGAAATAAATTTAAAATTAAAAAAACGCTTAAAATCAGGCCAGTAAAAATCAATCAAAAAAACATTAAAAAAAGCCTGTCCACTGCAGTATTCAGTAACAAGCGCTGATTTTTATGTAAAATGGTTGTTACCAGCAAACAATTGAGTGAAAAAGTGAAGAATTCAATTAAAAAACGGTGTCAAATGCAGTATTCAAGATGTATTTTTCATTTTGGGGAAAAATGGTTGTTACCATCATTTTATACATGTCTTAAAGTGTGGAAAATAAATTTAAAACGTCAAAAAATGATGAGAATTAAGCTGTAAAAAATTAAGTGAAAAAATGGGTCTAATTTCAGTATTAAAAATGAACCGTTGAGTTTTAAAAAAATTGGATTGCACCATTAAATTCTACACACATTGAAACCTAGTAAATAATTTTAAAATTTCAAAAAAGCATAAAAAATAAGGTACATACATGCATGCAAACAATTAATTGAAAAATAAGTGGAAAAAAAAAATTAATAATCAAAATTCATTTTTACGGAAAATGGACTTTACCATTAAATTCTACACCTTTTATAGCGTAGGAAACAACTTTAAAAATTCAAAAAAACTCGAAAAATAAGCCGTAAAAAATTAATTAAAAAACCGTGTCTAAATGCAGAAACCGCGTGTGCTGCGCGCAGCCAAAACCGCGTCAAAACGTGGAAAAACCGCGTTTTTTTATTAAGGCCCTAGAAAAAAGCTGGGTGAAATGGGGGGCAAAAAAAAATCTTTTGGGGCTTCAACATGTGTTTTGTTAATGACTTGCCCAACAAAAGCAAATAAAAAGACTTACCTATGCAAAGTGGGCCAGTGTGATTCCACGCATCTTAGCCTTAAGATCATAATTTGGAACATCCTCATCATCACAGTCACTTTCACTGTCTTCAGGAGCCTCATCTTCATAAAGATTGTTCCATTGATCTTTGAGATCGGCCAGCAGATTGTGTAGAACGATGCAAGTAACTATCCATTTTACAGCCCCCTTCATCTCTTCAGACCATCTCCCCCGCGGCTGCTAAACCGCGCTGCTAAACCCGATACAGCAGCGCCACTGCGGCTGCTAAACACTGAAAATATTTGGTACCTTGCCTCTCTGCTGCTATCCTGGTACCAAATATAGAATCAGGATAGCAGCCCAACCTGACCCAACTTCACAGGTATCACAAGAATTTCTTGTGATTCTCCCATCCACCACCTCCCCCATATCCCCCAATATCCAAAGCAGATATCCCTCGATATCCCTCCATCCAGCCTCCAGCACAACAACCCAGAAAACCCGACATCAATCAATATCATCAAAATGGCCCCAGTCGCACTCGATCCACTTCTCCAAGAACTCGGAACCCAGCAAACCAATAGCCAACCAAGCCAAACCGCGGAAATCGAAGCGAGTCAACCTACCGAGGCAGACAAGGTGGGAACTAAGAGGTCGGCTAGCTATTCAGAGAGTGAGGATGTCCAGCTATGTCAATCTTGAATCGCGATATCGGAGGATCCGTTGGTCTGTACTAATCAGGACGGCACGACCTTTTGGAAACGAGTCCACCATTCCTACTCCAAAAACCTTCCCGAATCTTGTCGAACACCTGGGAGTTTGAAGGCTCACTGGGTTGCATTGCAGAAACCCATCAGCAAGTTCCGAGGTTTTGTGAACCAAGTCGAACAGTTCGGCGAAAGTGGTGCTTTGGCTGAAGATTGCCTCAACCGTGCTCTGGAGCTCTTCTCCAAGGACCAGAAGGTCTCATTCAAGTACCTTTGATGTTTCAACATCCTTGTCAAGGTCCCCAAATGGAACTCCTATACGGACGAAAACAGCAAAAAAAATCAACTTCCGGTTCAGAAAAAACGCCTTAGAAGCCCGAGTAGTGACGCGCCGGCCTCCTCCGCTTTGACGTCCGAGCCCGTTTCCGATGCTAAAGCCAGCTCAACCAATACGTTATCGGTTCAACGTCCAATTGGAAAGAAGAAAGCGAAACTCCTTCACGAACTGGCAAAGAGGGAAGATAGCTGGAAAGATATTGTTGCACGCGCTCACGAGTCGGTGGCGAATGAATCAAAACGCCAGAACGACATCTTCAATATGGAAGCTCGGTCCTTGGACGAGTTGGCTCAGAACAGCAAAACCAACACCCAGGTATCTATAATGGACAAGGATCTATCAAATCTTGATGACGACTCCAAGGAGTATTTTAGATTAAAAAAAAAGAACTATTAGCCTCGCTTTGCTCAAACACCTCATCTTCATCTTAGGTCATTAGTTTTCTATCTCTCTCTTTCCATCTCTCACCCCTCATGTTATGTAGTTTATTGCTGTTCTACATAGTTTTTTGGAGAAGAAACTCGAGTCAATTCACATTTTTTTTAAATGTCTCTTTTTTATTTAAATGTCTCATTGCACATAAAATTTCAATTGAATGTTATCCATTTCTGTTTGCAACAAAACCTGAGAGAACAAGAAATTGAGCCATTTTAGTAGAAAAAAATCTAGCCATTTAGTGAAAAAGAAGAAATCGAGCCGTTTGAGAAAGAAGAAATTGAGCCATTTGAGAAAGAAGAAATCAAGCCGTTTGAGAAAGAAGAAATCGAGCGGTTTAGTCCATTTCATCCGCTTGTCTTCCTTTCACATCCCACTGATGTCTGATGAGATCGTGTCGCAACTGGTAGTGAATTTCAACGTCTTTCATCAATTGGTAGTTATCAATGAAATCAGAAAACGATATTTGTGTGCCTCGCAATACTTCAACAGGAGTAACAACTTCGGCCGGATTTTGATCGTACACATATTCCAGGTAAGAGCCTTGCTCATCCTCCACAATCATGTGGAGGATGATACATGATTTCATTATATTCGTGAGGTTTCGATGTTTCCATCCGCGTGCCGGTCGAGAGACAATCGCAAACCGTGCCTGAAGAACGCCAAAAGCCCGCTTGACATCTTTCCGACAACCCTCTTGCATTTTGACGAAATGCTTTTGCTCTAGTCCTTCAGGCTCCGATAGTTTTTTAACAAACACAGCCCAATCCGGGTAAATACCGTCGGCAAGGTAGTACCCTTGCGTGTAATCATGGCCGTTTATTTTATATTCACATTTAGGAGCTCTGCCGTTCAAGAGGTTTTTGAAGAGGGGAGATTGGTCCAGCACATTTATGTCGTTATGAGACCCTGGCAGCCCAAAGTAGGCATGCCAGATCCAAAGATCTTGAGATGCGACAGCCTCAATTATAACTGTTGGGGTCTATAAATAAAGAATCAGTCAGAATAAATAAAGCAAAAATCATTTCATTGAAAAACATACAGATATTCTCACCTTTTCCTTCCCTGGAAATTGCCCGGCCCAGGCTGAGGGGCAATTTTTCCACTGCCAATGCATGCAGTCCACAGACCCAAGCATTCCAGGGAAGCCTCTTTGAGCTCCAATCTCAAGTAGTCTTCCCAAGTCTTCAGCAGTCGGCTCGCGGAGATATTCAGCACCATAGATGCTGACAATTGCATCACAAAAATGATCCATACAAGCGAGCGACGTGGTTTCCGAAAGTTGTAGGTACTCGTTCTTACAATCACCGGCACCCCCATAAGCAAGCATGCGCAGTGCCGCCGTGACCTTAACAAGAGGATGGAAACCCATTCTCCCTAAGGCATCGGGCTTCTGAATGAAGTAATTGTCAAAATTTTGAACCGCGTCGGATATCTTCAAGAATAATTCTTTTGACATTTGAAAGCGACGTCTGAATAACCTTGAATCGTAGAGAGGCGATTCGGAAAAATAGTGTTGGTAGAGCTGTTGATAGCCAGCTTCAAAGTTGCGAGGTATGTTTGGCTTCTTTCCTGGTTTTGATCCACCATGCTTGCCAATGAGGTCATCGTAACCTGTTTCGTCGTCCAACAGGAGTGTTGCAGATTCGAGAAGCATTGTTCTTCTGGCATTTGAGCTGGAGGCTAGGTGCTGCCTTCGGATTAGAATTTGAGCCAAAACTTCTTGCGGCAGTACATCCACAGGCGTATTGTTGTCTTCCGAGTGGTCCATGGCGGTGTGTAGTTTTGTTGTGAAGTACGGGGAGCGGGGGAGGAAGGTTCACAGTGCAGAGCTGCCATATTTGGCAGCGTGCGGTGTGAAACTTTCAAGGTGTGAGGTGCTAAAAATGCGCCGCAGTCGCCGAACTCCGAGATTTGGCAGCGCGGATAGCATTTTGTGGTGGAGATGGTCTCAGCATTACGGATTTGAGTTTGAATTTCTCGTAAGCTTGCAAAACGAGCTTTGAGAATGCCAATGGCATGTTCAATTCTGACTTGATTGTGCTAGGTGGTAGTTGAAATTGATGTTCAGACGTTTGAGCAATTGTTTGCCTTTGAATGCAGGGACAACATAACAATTGTTGGTGTAGGCTGAGTCTGCCAGTAGGAATTGCTTTTGGTCGAAGTACTTTTCAGGTTGCTGGGCCACTTGCATGTGCGAAAACACATAAGCATCGTGTGACGAGCCAGGAAATCCAGCCAAATAAGAAATGAACTTTTTGTTGATATCACATATGACTGTTACTGAAATGGAGTATTGGATCCAAGCAGCCAAGAGAAAATAACAATCAATCAACAAGGGAGATTTTTTATATAATTCAGCAGTATCAAAAAGCTAACCTCTTCTTACGATCAAAGTAATGTTGCCCATCCTTGGGGGGCTTCTGACTCAAATGGATGGTCGTTCCATCTACAAATCCCACACAGCCAGGGAATCCTTCCTCTCGCATGAACTGAGATGATTCTATTCGTTCAGATTCGGTAGGCCAAGTGACTAAAGAAGATTGTAATCCATAAACAGCATGAATGACTCGTCTAGTATACAGGTCAATCGTTCCAAACCCAACTTGAAACAGATTTTTGAGCCTGTAGATAGCTGAACCGTTTCCATTTGATCCAAGACGACATACTGCTACAGCAATTTGGATTGGTGGATCCCTTTGGGGATTACAAGAGTTGTTGTAGAAGATGGGGTTTTGTTCAATGAGCTGTACCAGGTTGAGGAAGCAAGGAAAAGTCATACAAAACATCTGCACAAAGCTTAATTCTGGAAGTTCTTGAAGCTCAGACAAGTCATAACGAGGATCAAATCGTGTCGTGGAGTTTGGAGCTACTAGGTATCGTTTTTGAAGCTGACTCATAGAGAAAAAGTAAAATTCTTCAAGTTCTGAGTCGTGATCTGAATCTGAATCATCCATCATGGCCATTGCAGCAACATTGGATGCTTCGATTATTTTCTTTCTTCGAGATGCTTTGGGCATGATTGCTTTTGAGGACTTGAGTGGAGGCAATCTGCGTGTTGATGATGATGAGTTGGTGGTGGGATGATTGGTGCTGATGATGTGAAGTTTGGTGGTCAGATGATCAGTTTGGTGGTGGGATGATTGGTGCTGATGAGGTGAAGTTTGGCAGTGCAAGTGAAAATTGGCGGTGATATGAGTTGAAACAAATGGGATATTTTAATTGACTGGTTTGGGTGAAAAGATGTGTGTTTTTTTGTTCAAAACCCGTTGGGGTCGATGGAGGTGGATTTTGGAAACCCGTCAATTAATAATCGTGGATTTCAAAAAAATAATTGACGGGTTTGCAAAGGTGGATTTGCTATATTTGATACCCCCTAATGAATGTACTTAGAAAAGTTGGTGCCAATGAAAATGTTGAAGTAACTACTCCTGTAATTATTGCGTGGCATAATGGTAAATTTAGAATGGTTGGAGATTTTAGAGCTCTTAATAATTACACAATTGCTGACAGATATCCAATTCCAAAAATAAGTGAAGCTATCACGCAATTACAAAATGCTAAATATATTACTTGCATGGATGTACTTCAAGGATTTCATCAAAATGCTATTCATGAAGATAGTAGACACTTAATGAGAATTATTCTACATATGGGTATTTATAAATATTTAAGAATGCTTTTTGGAATTAAAAATGCACCCTCACATTTTCAAAGAATGATGGATACTGAATTTCACAAAGAATTATGTGAAGGTTGGCTAATTATTTATATTGATGATATTATTATTTTTAGCACTGAATGGAATGACAATCTTGAAAAACTAAAAATTGTTCTAGAAAGGATTATTAAAATGAATATGAAAATTTCTATGAATAAGTGCCAGTTTGGTTTTCAAGAACTTAAAGCATTAGGACATATTGTTTCAGGATTAAGCATAGCTATTGATAAAAATAAAGTAGCAGCCATGATGATGAAACCTATGCCCACTAATGTTAAAGAAATAAAGTCATTCCTTGGTTTTGCTAGTTATTACAGACAACATATAAAAGATTTTGCCAAAGTAACAGGTTGTTTATATAAATTAAGTAGCCCAAACACTTCCTTTGAAATGACAGTAGACAGAGTAGCTGCATTTAATAAATTACGTGAATTACTTACTTCTGCTCCCATACTATTTATGCCTAATCCTAATAAGCCTTATAAATTATATGTAGATGCTAGTATGGAAGGATTAGGAGCTGCCTTACACCAAATTCAAGATCAAGAAATACCAAAAGAGGGAGTCATTTGTTATATTTCTAGAACTTTGAAAGACAGTGAGAAAAATTACGGTGCCAGCCAACTTGAATGTTTATTTTTAGTCTGGGCCCTAGATAAATTATATTATTACCTTTATGGATGTGAATTTGAAGTCATTACTGATTGTACAGCCCTCAAAAGTTTATTAAGTATGAAAACTCCAAATAGTCACATGCTCAGATGGCAAATATCTATTCAAGAATGGAGAGGAAGTATGACTATTAAACATAGAGAAGGTAGTATACATAAAAATGCTGATGGACTTAGTAGATGGTCTTTAGAAAATATACCAGATAACCCAGCCTGGGATAGAGAAATTGCTGCAAAAATTATGTGTTTGTTTCCAGAGGAAAATAATGAAAATATACCTGCCTTTGATGATAACACTGATGATATTAATATTTGTGGGTTACACGTAACTGAAATGCAAGAAGAATTTTGGGATGAAATTAGAATTAGTTATGACCAAAATAAGAATTGCTCCACAATCAAAAATATATATTACAAATTAATTTCAGAAATAATGATCTGATAAACTCTTTAGAAGAACCATGGCTTAGCTCATTTAAAGAAAATAGCTTTTCTCTATTAGATGGATCAATTTACCACAGAATTAAACATACAAGTGTAGTAGTTATTTGTTTAACAGAGCACATTAA